TCCTTGTGAACTCCCCATGCGATAGCAATAAAGTTAACCCAAAACAAAGAAAAATTAACAAAAAAAGTTAACAAAAAGAGATGCAAATGTCCTCCGTCCCCACATAGGAACGCAAAACACAAGGCGGGTGCACCTACTTACAAAAATGATGATTGCGCTATACATGTCAGGTATTGCGCATGCACCAGAGTGAGAGCAATATATCTCAATACACATGGCCAGGGGCGTCCCGAGGCTGGGTGACACCTGGAGCGGTAACCGAGTGTCATCCCGCCGAGACGTCATGGCGCACGCGCGGCAGTCTTCTGATACCTGCCGGCGGCCATCTTGGTGATGGACGCCGGCAGAGAGAGGAGGGGACAGTCATCCGGCGGGATAAGGTATGCCACCATGTCCCCTTCTCTCTCCTGATACTGTCGGGCATTCGGTCCATGACTGAGCGCCCTACTTTTCAGAGGGGGGTGACACCAAAATGACTGTAAGTCACTCGGGTGCGGGCCGCACCCCCCTTGTGACGCCACTGCACATGGCTATTACTAAACTGATGACTGGGTATACACAAACACAAAAAATAAATCTAATTTGTGTGCAACTAAATTAAAATGTCTAATATACATACAAAAAAATATATATATATAAAAAAGGTAGAAAAAAAAAAAAGTCATTTTTAGTTTCAGCCTGACTGCTGTGGGAGATGTGTTGGGGTGCCATTTATTTCAATGGCACCCCAAACACGCCTCCCCCCCGCAATGCCATCACCTGCATTGGAATGCGCAGTACCACAATGCTAGGCTTTAACTACTAGACACAGTGACACTGGCCAAGATTCAGATGAATCAGTCTGTGTAACCAAACTAATCAGTATTTTGGCCACACACAATTTCCTCTTTATGATTGGCACCACTCTCCCCTAATAGCCTTTTATGAATGAACTAACTGACCAGCACAGGCTCTGATGGCCATAAACAAGTCTTACCGTAATCAGTGATCTGGGACAATTGTATTGGAGAATCAAGTAACACCTGGGATTGTGAAGGAACTTTATGATTCTCTCTAAAGGAAATATAAAATATCACAATGTTACTTGTAGTGTGAACTGTATAATGCCTCTTATATACAGGTAGATGTCCATCCTATGAAATCCATGTCCTTCCTTACATTCTGAGGATCTACTTACAACTGCATCGTTCTGTACATCCGCAGACAGATGTCTTTGATATCCTCGTCATCTTTTGTTTCTGAAGATACATCCTGTAGTAGCTCCCCCACCGCTTCAAACAGGTCATTCTCTGATTCAAAGTCTGATCGACCGCTGTCCAGGACATCTAGGTGGAAAGGTAACAAAAAATAAATCTACTGTTACATCATATGTGCTATTTATAGACAAGGGCAGCCAGTGCATCAGGTTTACATGATATGACCAAACATCTTCCCGATATGTATGCATCGTGGAGGATTTACATCATGGAGAATCTCAATGTATTGTTCGGGAACAACAAAAAAGGGATTTTTCTTCTAAGGCCATCTCTTTAACCCCCCTCTAATAAAGTGCTGCTGATGACACAGGAGAACCAAGATGGCAACGCGGGACCCGGGCTGTGTCACCTAAAAAGCACCCGAGTCGCTGAGCAGGGGAGTATGTGAAACGAACAATTATTTTTTGTTGAACAACTTATTGTGTCAAGATTTTAGACTCCTTTAGTAAAACAGGCTAATTCTGTCATTTAACCTAAAGTTATGAATAGTGCATCAGCTTGGAATGGCTCATCACTACTAATCATATGAATGATATTACAGTGCTGCCTATGTTCTCCATTTAGTCTGCTCAGACTCTCTACCACCGTTGCCTCCAGCTGTTATAGAACTGTAAGTTTCAGCATGTCCGGTCAGCCTAGGTGCTCTGACCAGCAGGGCATGCTGGGACTTGTAGTTCCACCCCCGCTGGAGAGCCTTGTGCCGTGAGCTGAAAGACTGGATACGTGTTACAGCTCCCCAGGCAGAAGGCGCATGTGCGAGTGCCCTGGCCATAGAAGCCTCAGACATGACATCCCTGCCGAATGGGCGCTCCTCAGGCCAGATACGTGTCTAAGGCTAGTCAGGCCGATGGGAACCCAGTCCAGGCTCAACTTCAACTTAGCAGTTCCCCTCACCAGTCACGTATTGGAAAAGCTCGGCATCCAGCTGCGGGAACTCGCTTCTCAGAATCTCCACGAAGGTCGCCATGTTGGCCGGCCGGTAACGCGCATGCGTGAAGGAGCTCTTACCGGGGAGCGCAGAGGATGACGGGAAATGTAGTCCGCCGGCTCCGTAGGCGGTCACTGCAGGGAGTGACTGATCGAGGATGGAGGAGGATTGTGATTTTAGAGGAGTGCTTTCTGTACTGTTATAATTACGGTGAGGTTTTATGAGGTGCAGAGAAGTGTGATTATTGGGGAGTTACTAAAGGTAACTTTGTGGGAACACAGCACCGTTCTTGTAGTTTTCCATAGCATGATAGCATCCAATCAGAAACTAGCTAGAATTAGTGGGACTCCAGCAGAGTTATTTGTGATGGGTTATTATAGATTACTTAGAAACCTGAATTGCTAAAGCTGAACTCCAGGCACAAAAAACTTTCTTTTAAATATACTCTTCAGTACTCACAGAGGATATACATCCTTATAAAAGTAGTAGTGACATCATCACTGTGCTGTACATAGTCAGAGCTGTAGGAGGGACCCCGCAGACTCTCAGGGGGCAGATACAAAACCAGTGACCCTGCACAAGGAGAGGCAGCAGCAGTGACTGGTCTTTTGCAGAATGTATGTAGATGAAGGTTTTTGTGCCTGGAATTCAGCTATAAAGTGATATATAAAGGATTTTAGGCTATTTCAAATGCTGATGAATTCACTTACAATAAATGCTGCTTCTTGATGTTTAAAAGTTTTAGTTTCCTGCAGAATCAGCTGGTCTCCTGAGCACTGGTTCTGATATCCTGCTTTCCCTTGCAGGGTCCTATGGAGCCACCCTTGTATGTGCTAGTGAGCTGTGTGTGTCTCCGCAAACACGCAGGCACAGCAAGGCAAGACTCTCCTTCCCTGTCCTTCTCCAAGCCAATAGATGGATGGTTGCTGGAGTCTGGTCTGTCCCTTGTGATCTTGTACTGGACAGGAAGTTTAGGGAAGCGGAGCTGAGAGAGTTGGAGTCAGCTGCTTGGAAACATGATGACTGTCAGCGGTTGGGTGAAAAGATTAAAATAAACAACTATGCTGCTCAATATTTGTTTGATCTGGATTCATTATAAAAAAAAGGTTTGAGAGTTTAAAGTGATATTAAACGTTAGGTAAGAAATATACATAGTGATGTAGACCCCATGACTTGCCTTGGTTGCATGTCTGTTTCCATTTTAATGCTATGTCTGCTTTCAGATCCTGATGTGAAGAATGTTCCCTCTCATGACCCTGCTTTCGGGTGGCTCTGTCCCCTTACAGCAGTGGTTCTCAACCTTTCTAGGCGCCGGGACCCCTTGGTAACATTTGCCAAGTTGTGGTGACCCCCAAACAGTAAAATTTAGGGATGACGCAGCTGCTGCAGCATCTGGCGGCGTGGCGGGAGAACTGACACTGCTGCGCTAGGAGAGGGCTGAGGAGGACTCTTACCTAGCACAGCAGAAATCACAAAGCGACCCACAGGTTAAGAGCCACTGCTTTACCCACAAGAGCAACCCCATCTGGCCACCCTAGTACACTATTGCCCCCTCCTAGTCACCCTTACATAGAACATCACCTCAAGCTTACCCCCAACCACAGCTATTACCCCCCTCGCTGCACCACCATTACCCACCACAATCTAGCCCTCCTTTACAGTTCTCACAATTGCCTGTAGACACGGTTACCAGTAAATGAATACACTATACAAGAGGGGGTAGGGTACTCTAACCTTTTCACAACATGGTATGGACACCGTCACCCATTAAAAGACCTTCAGCAGCGTTTACAGATTTGTAGCCAATTCCAGGAATCGAGATCAGGACCCAGTGTCCATAGAACTGTCCTCCTACGTATGCCGTCAGAATGCATAGCTAGATTCCTATTGGCTATTTCACTTTGCAATAGTAAACCAGCTATTGCACACGCCCTCTGCTGCTGTCAATCACTAGAAGCAGACTTCGGGTCAATCACTAGAAGCAGACTTCGGGTCAATCACTAGAAGCAGACTTCAGGTCCCCACCTTACAGGGATCCATGGAGCCACCCATGCGTGCACATTCCAGCCTGGATACATGGACGCATGTGTTTGCATAGGGGTAGCTCCACTGCAAGGGCAAGTTTTTAAAATTCCTGGAGCTATATAACACAACACACAGTAACATGTGAACGCACCACAAAGATGGCCCTAATGGTCTTTTGATGACTCTTTTCAGATGTATTTCAGCTTATCAATCATAAGGGGAAGTAAGCACTCAGTACATATTTATTTTTATTTTTTTAAATCTTTTTATTGATTTTGCATAGTAAATAATTACATTACAGTAACATTCGGGCACCAACATAGCACCTCATCCATACACAACAGTGTATAAATTACAGCATAACGTATGCCGACAGACTTACAGAACCATACAAGGTACATTAAAACCTACCCTCTGACGAATTACTCCCCTCCAATAGTTCCCAACTCTAGAGCAGGAACACAACACATGCACGAGATCAGCCGGCTCCCAGGGACACCTTCAGCATCTAGAGGATTCTGTGGAACGCATAGTAGCGAGTCTGGCCGGCGTGTAGTAAGCACGATGAACAATTTTATATTGAATCAACCTATCCCGTGCAGAGATCAAGGTGGTCATAGGTGTGCCCCATATCTCCTCCACATCCTCCAACTCTAGATCTGAACAGTCATGTATCCAAGCTCTTTGACATAGCTCCAGGGACCCCCCTCCACGTGTGAGATCAATTTATAAATGGTAGATAATGGTTTAACCAGTCCCTCTACTCGTAGCAGGGACTCCATCTCAGAGGCAGAGAGAGACAGGCGGCCCCCAGGGAACTGAGAAGAGAAGGCGTGGCGCAACTGTAAATAACGGAAGAACTGACTGTTCGGCAATGAGTGCGCTATTTTAAGATCCTTAAAGGGACGCAGACCCCCGTCACTAACTATATCATTTAATGTGAGCAGCTTCCTGGAGGTCCAAGTCACCGGGTCTAAGATGGAAGCAAAGTTACTAAGTGAGGGGTTTCTCCACAATGGGGTATGTGGGGAGAAATTCGAGGGAGATCCCAATACTCTCACCTCAACTACATTCCAGGCCCTCATGACAGATCTCATAGAAGGTGTCTGACGGTAGGGGGAGTTACAGCCCCAGTACACCAAATGTCTCAGAGCTTCATAGGACCCCACCAAGGTAGCCTCCAAGGTGACTGCTGGATCAGGGTCCCCCACCATGAGCAAACGTCAGGGAGCCCCCCCTTCCCCATGGCAGTTGTAGGAATGACAGTTTAATCCTGCGTGCCTTACCATTCCAAAGAAACTCAGAGATCAGGGAGTCTATTGTTCTAAAGATCCATTTCGGAATCCACGCAGGAGAGTTGCGCAGGGTATAAAGCATTAACGGAAGGAGTTTCATTTTAACTAGGCTGACTCTACCAATCAGGGACAGGGAGTGATTCCTCCATGCCGACAGGCGGTTTTAAATTGGGTAATGACTGGGCTAACATTAAGTGCTATGAAGTCTGAAACAGAATTAGAGATGGAGAGTCCCAGATATTTCAATGTGGTCGTCTGCTGCAGCTGTGCATAGGGCAAAATCAAAGAGTGATCTATAGGATCTAGAGGAAGATACTGGGACTTGCTCCAGTTAACCGACAACCCAGAACATGTGGCGAACCTCTGCAAGATGCTAAGGGACTCTGCCAGGGAAGGACCCATATCCGCGAGGAACAAGATCACGTCATCCGCATAGAGAGCTACTCTCTCCTCAAGTCCACCAACACATAGTCCCCGTATCATCCTGGACTGACGAAGGGCACACGCCATCGACTCAATCGCCAGGGCAAATAGTCCCGGAGACAGCAGGCACCCCTGCCGCGTGCCCCGGAAGATCTGAAAACTCAAGGAGAGAGCAGCCCCCATTTTAATTGCTGCCCTAGGTTGACTATACTGAACCCTGATCCATTTACAGAACACAGGGCCAAAGCCCATTTTAGTGAGGACAGCCTGCAAGTATGTCCAATCCACAGAATCAAACGCCTTCTCAAGGTCAAGAGAAACTACTGCTCTGGAGCCGGGGTTATCGTGAATAATTTGTGTTTGGGTATACAGTCTTCTAAGGTTGATATCTGTAGATTTATGGGGTATAAAGCCGTCTGATTTGGAGACACCACATTGGTCAGAACACGAGACAGTCTCGTGGCCAGTACCTTCGTGAGGATCTTAAGATCCATATTGAGAAGCGAGATGGGCCTATAGGAGGAGCATAGTAAAGGATCTTTGTTCGGTTTGGCTATTAAGACCACATGAGCATCATACATAGTGGGAGACAAAGAACCAGAACTGAAGCAAGCCTCATATAAGCTCTGAAGTCTAGGGACCAGATCACCAGCATATTTTTTTGTACCATTCCACTGGGAAACTCAGTACATATTTTGACAAGTAAAGGACTGAGTGCTGCTTGCCACTGGACGCAAAAGCATCAGAACAGATGACATTTACATGCATGAAGTGTTGGGGATTTCCAGGCTCAGGGAGGCGGTATAATCTTGCTTCTTTCATCCCTTAAATGCCAGCCTTATTAGTATCCAAGGGGCCTCAGAGCAATGAAAGCCTACAGTGTTTGCTTTCCTAGCCCTTCAATGCTGGGCTTTGGTAAGATTAATGGACTACACAAGGGGATCGTGTGTTAACCTGTTCCTCTCCTGTCATACACTTTGCAGAAAAAAAAACAGGAAAGGATTAGTCAAACGTGTAATGCTCAGCTACAGAATATAGTAAACATTACTTTAAAAGGTTGCTCCCCCATTTTTTTTAAGGACTTAGTAGAAGGTAATGGGTTAAAAATATTTATACCCCCAAAAACATCACACTTTCATACCACAATTCCTGTCCTGCTTGCAGACAGATACCAACCTGGTAACAGTGTAGGGGGGCACAGCTATGGTGGGATCTTCTCCATCGCCCAGCCATGTCCTGCACAGTGTTATGGACTGAGCTATCAAACTGACAGCCCAACCCTGCAGATGACATCTGGTGAGTCGATCTCTTAATGTAATCAGTCACCGTCACCAATCCAACTTAAGTTCAAGATCCATGTTCTCCAAGCACATCCAAATGCAGATCTGCACACCAAAAGTGAGTAAAACCCAAGGTATGATATCGTGGAAGCTGAAAACTGGGTGGCCACCTGCAATGACCCTTATGAAACATTCTATTGCATTTGGGCCACTTGGCTCCATTTTACTTTGCGACAATTGCACTCACAAGGTTACCTCAATCCCTCTTTCTACCCCAGGTTAGGTGAGCTGTCTTGATGAGGTGTAGCCAGGCACCCCTTCCCTGCTCTCCTTTGCCCCACTCTTGAGCCTGTGTTGGGGCTTGGGGTGCTGCAAGAATTCAGCATTTTAGTTTGTAATTACTGTGTTACTGAGTTGAATGTTACTTATGCCGCATCCTTACTGTACTTCCACTACAGATGTCTTTTAATTGTGGTTGGAGAGATAGACTGGGTTTGTCCAGAGGAAAGGTTCAGTGTATTTGTAACCGGTCTCTGTATGTGGTATTCCGATTTGATAAATACCTTTTGGTCGAAACGTGTTATCCATTTGGAACACAATACTGTGAAACCAGTACGCTCTGTTTTCAAGTGATGAATTAAAACGTTGGATTGTATTTACTTTTTGTGTGCTGATCACCCTTTACTATACCTCCCTGTATGCATCTCATGACTTAAAGTGATATTAAAGCTTTAAGTTTTTATTTTATTCTTACCAGTAGGAGGCCGTCTATATTGCAGATGTTTTTTTTTATTTCTCAATTCCTCGTTTTCTAGTGGGTCCCTGCATCCTCTCTCGCCCCGCCCCCTGCACAGGTGGGTGGCCAGCAGCTGAGCGGCTGCTGTGGGGGCACCCGTGCATTCGCGTTCCCAACCATGCTTGCACTAGCTGTGTGCTTCCACAGGGGGTGTATTTATCAACAATTTGCAGATCCTTCGGAGGCCTGTGGGTTTGGTGTTTGTAAAGCAGAGATGCAAGTCACTCAGTTGGCCTGACTTGCCAACTACCCTCCTTCTCCCTCATTGCGTCACTCAACGGGTAATAACCTACCATCTTCCCTCCCATCCTTCCCCTCCAGCTCCTTAATGTGCTTGTCATGAGCCACACTATGAGCTGTGTATATGTTGTCATGTACAGTAACAAAGCAGTAAGAGCCAGGATCAAGACTGGGTCCTGGACCTGATAGCTGCAGTAGTGCTAGTATCCTATTGATAGACTTGACAGGTTAGCAGTGCTACTGCAGCTACCTAACAAGGTTGGGCATCCAAATTTGGGACAATGCATACTGCCAGTTAACCATTTAACAACCCAGAGGAGCACAGTTTAATGGGCCTGGTTACCTCAAAGTAGATCCACCACTGCAAAAAAATTGAAAATTGTGTCAATACTTACTGTAATTTTCCTTTCCTGGTGCCTATCTATGGCAGCATATCCATGATTAGGGACGGAGATACATCATGGGTATGCTGCCATGTTGGCACTAGGAAAATTGTATCAATGCTTACCTAAATTTTCTTTCCTTGTGCCTATCTATGGCAGCATATCCATGATTAGGGACGGATATATATAATGGGTATGCTTTCATGTAGGCAATAGGAAAACAGGAAATTGTATCAATACTTACCTTAATTTTTCTTTCCTGGTGCCTATCAATGGCAGCATACCCATGATATATCATAAAATAAAGACTTTATACACATACTGAAAGATGTATATAAAATATCAGTTTACTTGAGTCAAATAAGACAGTTTAAAAACACATTTCCCTTTAAAGTGTGTGAGGAGCTTAAAATGTGATAATATTTTTCAGGCTTTCCTGTATCCTAACAGAGCATACTTAATTCCTGTCTTAGGATATTGTAAGGGTAAAAGGATATTACAATCACTTTTATTACAAGGGCCTTTATACAAGTAATACCCCAAATAACATAGGCCAGATGCTTACTATCCATGTTGTGTCACGTGTGTCCTGACATGTCTTCATCTACTAGCAGTGTGCAGTGCACACTGTGCACTCATTTAGATGGCATGCAATAGATGTCTGTGATAACTGCAGCTTTCCGAAGACACATTGATACTTCTCAGACTCTACAAGCTCTCTTTAAGGTCTGTGTAGAGCTGACCTGACATCTGTCCTTGTGTGCCTAGATGGAAAGACAAAATGCTATGTGTGTAAAAATACACATCCAACACAGCTGGCTGACAATACTTGATGCAACAGAGGCAAGAGAAACATATGCCTTCACATGATCTGATATTTAGGCCCCATTCACACACAAATCGGCCTGCACGTACAGCTCCGTGCTTCCCCCGCAGCCCCCGTCCTTCTCTATGGGGCTACACGGCCGTACGCCCCCCTGCTCTCACCTCATTTGCAGGTCCGTAGGGGTGCGGGTGATCGTATTCATATGCTGCCTGTATGCGTCCCGGCCAGAAAACCCGCACCCCTACGGACCTGCAAATGAGGGGAGCGTAGGGGGGTGTACGGCCGCGTAGCCCCATAGAGAAGGACGGGGGCTGCGTTCTAATCACACGCAGCACCTGTCCTTCCCGGCAGCTACTATGTACGGCCCCGCACGCAGCACGGAGCTGTACGTGCAGGCCGATTCGTGTGTGAATGGGGCCTTAAAGAGAACTATAGGCAAACATTTTTTTGACTTTACTTCTCTTTTGGGGTCACAGGAGTGGATTTACTAATGTACTCTTGTGACCCAAAGTCAACATATAGCGTGCCCGCTATCTGCCTGCTATATGCTGGCACTTCAGTCGGTAAAGATCCCAACAATATTGTTAGGATCCACCCCACTGTCTGATTGACAGCTGGCTCTGCCTCTCTAGAGCCAGCTGTGCTCACCCCTCCTCTGTCTGCCCCTCCAATGAGCACTGGAGGAACAGAAAGGAGAGGGGAATCCCTGTGGAGAGGGATGACTGGCAGTCACTACTCTGCAGGGAGAAGCGGTGAGCTGAGCGATCAGCGGTTTGTAAGCTATAGAGCTGGAGTGTGCCAGCTGCAGTGTCACACGCCGGCTCAAACTATTGGGAAGAGTACATTTTACTAATTATTCTCCTTTAGATATTTGCAGTTTTAGTTTCTTCTGGCCAGTCATGAGACTGCACTTATACAATGTCGGGGCATTAGTTTAATGTCTCTGGAACAAATCAAGTTGCTTACACATCAGGAACTGTAAGGGCCCATTCACACTAAAGCGGTGACCACTAGGGCACATACAAAACAATTGTTTTCTTTGTGCCCTGTTCACACAACATCACGGATTGACGCTGCAGGTTAACCCACAGCAGTGCTGCTGTGCGGCGACCTGAATAGAGTGTACATATTGTACACTACTAATAAAGTTTTTAAAAATGTAAACGGTGACAGCTCCGGCAGTGTGCGATACAACGCGAACTGCCGAAGCTGCCACAAAGCACTAACCTGTGCGCTAAAGCAGAGCGTTTATCGGACAGGCTAGTGTGAACGGGCCTGAAAGCTTTACCCAGCCATAAATAAAAAATATATAGAGCATAAAGGAAAGCTCCAGGCAAACACCTATACTATAGCTACACAGTTGAAATACATACATGCTTAAAGGAGAACTATGGGGTAAGTGTTTTTCCCCATAGTTCTCCTCAGGGCCATGGGAGGACATAACAAGCGTCCTCCTGAGACACAAATCTCAGTATAACGCGAGCTACAGCTCGCGGTATACTGAGACCTCCGCAGCCGGGACGGATGCCGACATTACTGTCGAGATACACCCAGCTGCGTGATTGACAGCTGGCTCTCCTGTACCCACCCCCTCCCTCATTCGTTCCTCCAGTCAGCGGTGGAGGATCGGAGAGAGATGGGGGGGGAATCCAGGGACAGGATCGAGAAGTGAGCGAGCGACAGTATGTGTTCGCTCACTTCCCGATCTATTGAGCCGATGTGTGACAGTTTCATTGTCACACATCGGCCCGAACTATGAGGTTGAGTGAAAATCATTCACCTCATAGTTCTCCTTTAAAACTTTACTCACCAAATGATTTGTAGTTCTGTATATTCGTTCTTGTGATTTATACACATTTTCTATATACTGCAGAGGAAGACAGATGACACACATAGTCTCTAATTAAAGTAGAACTGAAGCCCAAACTTTTTTTTACTTTTGGATAACCCCTCTGAGATTTTTTTTGCCAACTGTGTCCCATTACAGAGATTTCACTTCCTGTTCAATAACCACAACAGGAAGTGAGAGAAAATCCCTCTAAATTGAGGGAAATGCCTGGTGGTCAGCAGGATCATCAGAACAAGTGTCCCCACTGGAAGATTTCAGATCTATTCCTGTTCTTGTGACCACCCAAAATGTGTGATTTCCTTTACTTTCGCTTTCAGTGATAACCATCACCAGAACAAATAGAGAGGGTGAATCTCCGTAACAGGGACACAGACAGCAATACAAATCTGACAGGTGTTCTAATCCCTCTCCACTCTAGCCTAAACTAAAATATGTTTTGGCCTCAGTTGCACTTTAAGTAAATCATCTTCCTTGTTCAGATATGCAGCTTGCTAAGTCACCTCCAGCTGACATTGGAGCTGATCCAGGAAACAGCAATACTAAATCAGGAAGTAGAGTGATTTTACTGAATAATGGATAACATGACACATTCTTGGTAGGTGAAACAGTAAGCATACACATGTGCCAACTGTGTATTTAGCTATTTGCCCGGAGTTCCACTGTAATGCTGATATATGTCACAGTGCAAGAATGAATCACATTTCTGTGCAAGTTTTATATGAGGCGGAGATTCCATGACTTTCCCCCAAGGGTCATTCTTCCCTGGCGAATTACACATGTATAACGCCCTTTGGTCTGTTCTTCTGCGTATAGGACAATAGTAGATGAAGTCTTCTTGATTATTCCAGGGGTGGATGATATAAGATGGGATCCATTTTTATACCAACTGAAATGAAGCAGAGTGAGAACGTTGATAAAGTACACCATCTGATAAACAGTAATGATGCCCATACAGGTAACACTAAATGAGAGATCAACTGTATTGTGTTTTAAAGGACCTTGATTGACATAAAAAAAAAAGAGTATGTAGGTTGAATGGGATTGGGCTCTCTACCAGGACTGTCTGTTTGGCTTCTTTTTTTAAAGATACAATTGTATCATGTATCCTAACGTGGATGGCGAGTGAGAAGTTTAGATGGTGTCCCATACATCACAATGGCTGTCTCAGTCTGCATCGTTCATAGCAATCCTTTTATATTACCAATGTAATGCTGGGGAAATGAAGACTCTGGTTGCTACAGCCAACAAACTGTGCAAGACCGTTCTTCCCTGAGCTTGATAAGTCAGGGACAGTGAAAAATATCTGAATTATCAGGCTTGTATGTTATCAACAAATTTGTAACGGAGTCAGTACATTAAACTCCCCATTATCCAGCATTCAAGCAACCGGTTAAAAAAAAAAAAAAAATCGAGGATATAATATGTCCTCGATTTTATTTTATTTTTGCCAGTTGTTTGATAGACATGGGGGACACTAAAAAATGTTGTTAGCAACTACATTTATTTAGTTGCTAACAAAATTCTTTGTTTACATCTTGCTGCTGGCCAGCCGCTAGATTCCACGGGCGGCAGCAGAATGTAAACAATGGGGAGCGATAGCCAGCCTGCTATTGGCTATTTCAAATTGCAATAGCCAATAGTAGTCTGGCTATTGCACTCATCCACTGAGCAGAGGAGTGGACCTGAGAGAGAACTCAGAACGCCACGGGGGTTTGCTTAAGAGTTACTATTAACTTTCAAGCAACCAGAAACTACAGTTATCCAGCATCTACTGATCCCCGTGGGCGCCGGACAACTGGGAGTTTACTGTACTAACTATAGAGACGCTCATGGTGGGGGGCTGGGGCACTAATCTTGAGTGGAAGTGCAGCTTCCGTTAAGCTTCTGTGCCTGCTCTGGCTGTAGTGCTGCAGGTCACATACACATCAGCATTGTGGTTGCATCGTTGCATCTCCGCCCCCCCTCCTCCTGGCCAATCGAAAAACAGAGCTTGAGGATATTTGCTTTGTAATTGGCCAGGAGAAAAGAGGGATGGAAATGTTACCACAGCCCTGAGATCTATAGGACCTGCAGTGCTACAGCCAGAGCAGGCATGGAGATTCAGTAGTAGCTGGACATCTACATACATGCAGGGCCACCAGTAGAAATCATGGGACCTCATACAACCAACCCAGCAGGCTGCCCCCAGACAGGGCACCCAGTGATGTCACTGGTTGCCAAGAGTCATGTAGGACATTAACCACAGTGTCCTGTTTGCTAAGAGCTGAGCTAGGAGATGTGTATGGGAGAGGGGTGGGGAAAGAAGGAGAAAAAAGAAAGAGCCTGTGGAGAGGAAAAAGGGATGAAAAAAATTTCAAGTCGAGTCTGGACCCCCCGTGACCCAGCTGGCAGTGGCTGGCTGTACCCCCCTATTGGCAGCCCTGCTCACATGTACACTGATGATTTGTGGGGAGAAGAAGCCAGCGCTGAATATGGGAGGTGTGTTTTCTAAAAGGCACTGTACTCCAGTAAAATTATGGTGCTCAGAGATGGGCTTTATGAAACATAAAATAACACTTCTTTTTGTTTAGTAACCTGCACAGTTGCATCACACTTCCTCCCAGGGGCGTCCCTACAGTTTTTGCCACCTGAGGCTGGGGTGATGTTGGGGGGGGGATGCTGGTGATGCACGTTACCGGGGGGATGGTATAGTATGTTACTGGTGGGGGGCTGCACGGTACCTCTGTCCGACGTCCTGCCCAGCTCACTGACATCACTAGTTGCCAGGAGTTGGGCTGAACGCCAGAGTATCCCTCTCAGCTCCTGGCAACCAGTGACATCAGTGAGCTGGACGGGAAGCTGGACAGAGCGTCACAGGTTGCTAAGAGCTCTTAGCAATCTGGGACGCTCTGGCCAGAAAGTGGGCGGCAGGTGACCTAATGAGATGCCATCTGAGGCAACGGCCTCAGGCTGCCTCATTATAGAAAGGGCCCTGCTTCCTCCCATGATATCATTTATTTTTCTAAAATCATTTTATGGTACACAAGGGGAAGCTTGTAAATAAAGTGTTATCATACAAATGTGTCCATGGCATCATGATCTCCAAATACAGCTCTGGTTTTAGAATGTATTGTTTATTATGGGTCAGCACCAGTCGCATATAAAATATACCTCGGGCCTGGGCTGTTCTCAGTTTAAGGCACCCTACCCTAGTAGTGCTGCTTAAAAGACTCAATTAATTTTTAAAGTAGCAGTTTGAAGGCCTGAACAATTCCCTCAGATTCCAGAATAAAATTCTCACCAAGCCATTAAACTTGGTATCAATGTCATGTCATCGAATGTCCCTTTCCAGTCCCATGTTACAGGAGCTGAATTAAAAAAACTGTGAATGTAACAAACTGTTACACTGCCAACTGTGCTATGTATAGTCACCAACTTCCTGCAGAATATCCCCCCGACCTGAAGTCTGCCCAGCTCTTTGCCCCTTTACCCCTGATCAACCCCTCTGCTTCAGCCCCTCGTTGTCTTATCACTTTCTCTTTAACGCCGCAGTTACTCAGATGATGCCCCAGTGAACAGGCTGCTGAGATGAGTAGATTCCTCTCCTCATGCTGACAAAATATCTCCTCTATCAGGTAAAATCAGATGACATTGTTCCACCACAGGTGGCACTGCCTGCTTCTTTATTAAGGCGTGTTGGGACAAATGTGGTCACTATGCACAGGCTCGTATAGCCCCCCAGGGAGCCTTGTGTCCCAGGCAGCTGGTCAAATCTTCATTATGGGAATCCACCACTGGTCCACCCATATCTTTTGATAACCCTTACATGTAGATTCAAATATACTTTAGATATCACCTCTCTGACACTAAATTGAAAGATTGATTAGTTGTGTCTATTGGCCTCTTTCAATAAACTGGTTCAAAATGGTGATGGGTGCAGCTCCACTACCCTGAACCTTCCAGGTTGCATCAAGTTAATCAATATTATAATACAAGATTTATATAGCGCCAACAGTTTGCGCAGCATTTTACATAATGGAAGGAGACAGTACAGTTACAATACAGGGGGGTTAGGAGGGCTCTGCTCATGAGAGCTTACAATCTAGTAGGAGCGACAAGTGATACAAAAGGTAATAATTGTGCGGGATGAGTTAATGGAAGAAGTAAAAGGACAGTTATTATGTTAAGGTGAGATAGGCTTTCCTGAAGAGATGAGTGTTCAGGAATCATCTAAAGGCTGACAGAGTATCAGATAGCCGGATAGGTTGTGGTAGGGAGTTCCGGTCAATGGGAGAAGTTTTAAGGACTTTTACTAAGCTCTGCAGGATGGAAGTGTTTTGGATTTTTACTTTAAGCACCAGAATTCCAGCTGAAAGAGAGCATATCTCTATGCATGGTGCATATTTTCATTTGCCAGTAATTTTTATAGGTTTTCAGTCATTATGATGAAGTGTTCTGTTTAAAGGAGAACTATGGGGTTAAGTCTTTTCCCCATAGTTCTCCTTAGGGTAACGGGAGGACACAAACTAGCGTCCTCCCGTTACCCTAGGCTCAGTATACCGCGAGCTACAGCTCGCGGTATACTGAGACGCTGCAGCTGAAGCGGATCCCGACAATTGTGCCGGGATCTGCCCAGCTGCGTGACTGACAGCTGGCTCTGCCTATCTAGAGGCAGAGCTAGCTGTACCCGCCCCCTCCCCCGTCCGTTCCGCCAGTCAGCGCTGGCAGATCGGAGCGGGGAGGGTGGAATCCAGCCCCTCCCCTGTCACGGCAGAGAGCCGTGACAGGATCCAGAGGTGAGCGAACGCCGGTAACTGTTCGCTCACCTCCCGATCTACTGAGCCGACCTGTGACAGTCTCATTGTCACAGGTCGGCTAGAACTGATTGGTGATTGGTTGCCACGGGCAACTGCTCCGGATTCTACTTGCTCCAGTTTTGATAAATTCCCTTCATTGCACCTTCATCCAAAGGCACAGGGAGGGCCATGAATATATGAAGCAATAAGAATCCAAAAAGAGGAAAGGGGGAGTTTGCATGGCAGTGGTGATGGCAAAGGATAGGGCAGAATTAGAAGTTAAGGAGAGTTCTAAAGGGAAACAGGTGTGAATGCGGACTACAAGAGATAGCGGAGTATAAAGAAGAGGATATGGGGAAAAGCTAGAGAGATGACAGGAAAGAAGCAACAATATACCGAGACTGGGTTACAGAAACGCGACGCAAGAGCTTAAAAGGGAGTAGAGGAGTTTGTCCTAGAAGATCTGCAATATCATGCCAAGACAGTTCCCTGTAAGACGAAAACCCAAGGGCACAGGCTTCGGGTAGAATAGTAAAGAAGGGCATATGTTCACTTGTCATGGTCAGGAGCCGAAGCTAACATAACCCTTGTGTATGCAGGGGTGGTCTTCAAGAGGAGTCAACAGGCCCACATGAAGGTATAGTGAGATAGCCTTTTATTACTAAGATACATTTTTACTGTATAATAGAATTGATTATGTATCGGGCAAACTTCCCTCCTATGTTTAAGAAACTAAAGGGGGATTTAGAGAAGTGGTCCTCGTACAATCTATCGTGGCTTGGGAAAATAAATGCTATCAAAATGGCTCTCCTCCCGCGCTTGTTATATCTATTCAGGGCACTCCCTATTCCTGTACCTAGAGCCCAGCTAGCTAATTTTCAAGCTGGCTTAGTGAAATTTATATGGGGGGGAAGGGCTACCGACTACCCAGGATAACGCTTTACAGTACCAGAGAGTCAGGAGGATTGGGGGTCCCAAATATACACCATTACTATAGGGCGGCACGTATAGCTCAGTTATCTGTTGTATATTCCAAGGAGGAACCACCGGATTGGGTCCTCATGGAATCTCATGCAGCTAAAGATCTACCTTTAGATCTATTGAAATGGTTGCCGTCTAGATTATGACCACCTATTATGGCCCCTACTCTCTCTACTTCTTTAGCCTTATGGGATTGTGTAAAAGCACATGTAAACATCAGTTCATCCCTTACTCCCCTTGCCCCTCTGTACCGGAATCCGATATTTGGGCCTGGCATTCACCCCAAATCATTTAAATGGTGGATGGATAAGGGATTATACAGAATTGGCCAATACCTTAGGTCAGGGAGACCCCTGACTCTGGAATATTGTAGGGAACATCTGGGCATGCCATCGTCAGAGCTGTTCCGGTTTTATCAAATCACCCACTTTTTACGTACTAGACTGACACGAGATAACCTTAATAGGGGTTTTAGTCCCTACGAGCGCTGGTGCATGCAGTCTACTAATCAAAGAGGGGCAATCTCCATGCTATACGCGATACTGCTAGAGTCCCCCCTAAACAGCCATACATGCTGGCCTGGGAACAGGAATTGGGGATGGTAGTGACGGAGGAGGTATGGAGTCGTCGTTCAGGGGTACAACCCGGGGTATACTCAATGTCTCCTTATTGGAAGCTAATTTTAAAGTGTTTTCTAGATGGTACCTGGTGCCCACTAAACTTGCTCGTATGTATCCGGGGTCATCTGCTTTATGCTTTCGAGGGTGCGAGCTTGTGGTGGACATGTCCTCGAATTCAAGTATTTTGGGGAAGGGTTTTCAGTTTAATATGCCGGGTTACAGGTGTGCGGGTTCCCAGAGAACCCGGGTATGCTCTCCTTAATGATACTGTACCCGGAGTCTCTGGACACCGTACACGGTTGATAAGGTTCATGTTTCTTGCAGCCAAAATTACGATCGCTATAGCCTGGAAAACATCCAGGGTCCCTATGAGACAAGTGAAGACTAAGTTATCCTGGATTATGACTCATGAAAAGTTGGCGAGTATTCTCCTGGATAAAGTGGCACAATTCGAGTTAACATGGGACCCCTGGTTGGCTCATATAAGCCCTCCAATAATATGAGAAAGATAGAGTGATCAGGGCCGGCCTTAGGCCTTTAGGCGCCCTGTGCGAGAAAGCTTTACAGCGCCCCTCAGTGACCACACCCATCAGTGACCACACCATTTAGTGACCAAACCCCCAGTAACCACACCCATTTATTACACATATTTTTGGTAAAATATAAAAAGTCGGGGTCACGTCGGGTAAATAGACACCAAACATGTCATGCTTTAAAAAAAACTACCCAATGCACCTATGGCCCAAAATTGGCCATAGGTGATGCTTTAAAAGCTTTTACCGCTCATCAGTTTAGTGTTATCAGTGATTGATGGCCCTACAATTATTGCTCTCATTCCGACGTTCGCGGCGATATGTAACATGTGTGGCGTAATGGGCGAAATCGTCGTTTTCACACGGTTGCGCACCCGAAGCCTGTTTGCATGCGTGTATGTATGGGGGGAACTCCAGCCCACTCCGACCAAATTTCTCACTTGGACATTAGCTATCTATGGTAAGCTGCGAAAATTTAAAGATTGGGGGGGTTTCCTTAGCATCCAAAGGTTATTTGATTGTATATTTGCACAGTATGTAGAACACAAAAATGAATGGGGAACAGTCCCCCTTGTTTCGTCAGACGGATGTTATAATATTATATGGTTCTATGTTACACATGTCTTTGTATGTTCTATGAAAATAATAATAAAAATTTGTGAAAGAGAATTGATTATGTTTGAACTGTGAAGGGATTAATGATCATGTGGGATAAATGAATGCTTCCATATAATGGCGTGTGAGTGGTTTTGTTATACTTTGAGAAAGCTCTGTGTCTGGCATCAAATGCTTGAGAATAGAGCTTATTCCTGCTGGCTATTTTAATAACAGTAGAATATATTTTTTCATCTAGGTGTGTGATGTTCCTCTTGCTGGTATAATTGATTGTTTCGGTGGAGACGAGAGGAGTCAGCACCTGAGATGTAATTATGGAGTGTGGAATCTAACTTCACCTGTTTTCAGAGCAGAGGGGAAGCACAGTGCCATCGAGGACCCAGATGATGAGGGCCAGCACTGTACTAACTCTAGCTACTACAGTGCTTCACAGGATCCGTGTGGGCTGACCAGATATATCATATGCATACTTACATTGGACTAAGCTGGACAAATGTAAGCATGCATAATACTTTATACCCGGGGTTCCGCTTAGAACTGCTGTGAGGGGAAATTAACCCTTTTCAGCTGTCATTACAAAATAAAGAAAATCTCCCAGTGGTGACATATTCTGCTGACAAATCTCAAAGATGGGGCTACCCTTACTTTAGGGAGATGTTATAGCTTACCTTTCAATAAGATACTGTATAGACACCTGTTTTTGTGAACACCCCCATGGCTGTTAGTGACACACTGTATAAGAATTCATATCTTTCAATTGTCACTCACCTGATTCTCTGCCGTGGTTGAGGTGTGTTATGGGTACAATTAAAAGTAACGGATTCACCCTTGGGAACATAAAGCATCTTCACTTTGACCTTGAGTGATGTGGTTCTTTGATCAGGTGTCTCTTAAAGGAAATACATGTCAGAATCACCATTACTACCATAAGCTGTCATCTGTCATTTCTGATAATGGAGTCTGTCACATAACATTACCATTTCCTCACCTTTACAGCCATGACAGTTTGAATGACATGGTTTCTGCATATTACACTTTTCACAAACTTGTGAGAGCTGACATGTGGATCCAGCTGCACAACCTATAAAGAAAACAATAACAGAAATGGTTTTATATCTGTGAGGGTGATTTGTTTTAGTTTATCTTGCATGGATATTAATTTATTCTCCGAATGCATAAAATATGTGTAAGGCACCATTCACACCCAGGCATCAGCGCTTTCATGCATATTAGTGCGCGTTTTGTTTTGCGTCATGTCTAGCGGACTTTGCGGTCGCTAGACGCGAGAACATGAAGACGTGCATTTCATTGGGTAAATTGAAATGCATTGTGGTGAATGAACAAACGTGTGCAAAAACGCACACAGAAAAAAAAAAGCTAATGTACTTTTTCCAGCCTTCAGCGTTTTACAGCTTGCAACAAAACTCTCAGGTGTAAACAGGGGCCATTGGAATGAATGGTATTTCTTGTGTTGAGAGTTTTGTTGCGTTCAGCTTTGAGCATCAAAAGGCCGAAGTGTGAACAGGGCCTTACTGTTTTTCACTACCCATAGACCTGCATAAGCATAAACATAAAATAACAGAAACATGGATGATTTTGACATTAACAAGAAAACATTTCTTGCCTGAGTTTACATTTATACATTGAGAAGGGGGTCCTGCCGTAAATTGAGGAAACAATAATGACCACCACAAAATAATCCATCCTGGCAGGTCTACTTTCCCCTAAGATTGGTTGTCCTGAGGTGATAGCAGATATTAAACAGCAATGATACACATGTGATTTTATTCACGACCCGGCCATAACTAGCCAGATGGAGCAATGATCATCTCATGTCTCAACCTTTAAAGCTATTTTCAACTGATAAATCTTTACTAAATGTCTAACAAAACCACTCCACTTACTCTTTTTTTTTGCGGGCTTTACTGATTTTGCACAAAAGAAAGCATGAACATTTGTTACTGTCAGATCCGTGCTTGATTTGGAAGACATTATTCTAACCTCTTGTTTGATGTGGTATCTGCAACCTTCCTCTGAATCTGAAATTCAGGATTTTTTATTTGATCTTTATCAAATCCTGGGAACTCAAGCATGTGCAATGTTCTCAAATTCTGCTCCACGTTGAAACCTAATTTCCCTGTTCCAGCTGGAGAAGGAAGGTTCTGCTTATCTTGTTAGAGTCACTGCAGAGAGCCTGCTTTCCTCTCTGGCACTTGATCAGGATTAGTTAAACTAAGGAGCATTGTAGACTCTGAGAGCTTCCAAGATAGGACAACTAGCAGGAGGGGTCTGTGTCTTCCCTGGCTTTAAGCCCACTATCATGAACAGCAGTGTCCGGAAGAGTTATAGGGACCCGGCAAGGGGCTTATATTAATATTTAGGTTAGCTTTTAAGGGGTAAAGTGTCTTTAAAAGATGCAGTTGTGTAACAATAGCCATAGCAGCCATGGGGCTTGGTGTAGAACAGGGCCCCATTAGGGGGTTTCCAGTGTAGAGGGACTGAAGTCAAACCTCAGGATGGTCTTGTCACAGATCCCCCTCTGAGTAATAGAAGCATTTGCTTATCTTAGTGTAAATGTATTGTCCTCTGAACTTCTCCTATGGACTGAAATTAACCCTGTATGCCTAATGCAGTCACATATCACAGTGTTCCACCTCTGTCCAAACCTATAGGAGGGCTGAGGTTTGTAGTAGGGATGCACCTATACCAGTACTAGTATCGGTATCGGTGCTGAAACAGGGCATTTTCATGAGTACTTGTAAACATACCCCGATACCAAAAGCCGTTATCGGCCCTTTAACATTTTAAACTGGATCGGCTGCCTAAGATCCATCGCATGTGGGGACCTCAGGCACCCTGCTGGGGACCTGG